AAAAAATTAAAAAAAAAAAAAAAAAGATCAGCCTGGGCTACATGCTGAGATCCTGTCTTAAAAACCAAACTTTTTGTTGTTCTTTTTCCTAAAAGGGATCATTATACCACTCGGGGCTAGCTGTTCTCTAAAACAAGGTTCCAAGATATTCACCCTACTGTTGCCTGTGACCTCCCAGTACCCTACCAGGTCTCGCATCTGGCTTCTGCCAGCTCCTCTTCCATCAGTGTTTGCTCCTCACAGGCCCCTGCTGGGTACCTACACTCCCTGAGCTTCCCTGGCCAGCCTGGCCTGACCCTCTGGTCACCACCCCTGGCTGGGTCTGACCCAGTCCGCACTAAGTAAGACCCGGGTGAGGGTGGGACCAGGGTAGCTCCCATATTGTCCAGCACAAGTTAAAAGCTGAGAAGGCAGAATAAATATTTTCTAGCTGAAATAACAAACTTTGGAATTTGAAATTCATGTGTTGCAACATTTTTTTTTTTTTCTTTTTGCAGTACTTTGTTTTTGTTTTTGTCTTTTTGAGACAAGGTCTCCTGTGCAGTTCAGGCTGGCCTTGAGCTCACTTTGTAGCCCAGACTGGCCTGAAATTCACAACAATCCTCCTGCCTCAGCCTCATTAGTGCTGGGATTACAGGCATGTGCCACCACATCCCACCTTTTTGCAGGACTCTGAACCCAGGGTCTTCGCTCTCAACCCCACCCCAACCCCTTTTCTTAATTTTTTTTTTTTTTTTGGTGGAACCAGGGATTGAACTCAGGCCCTTGTGCTTGCCAGGGGAGCGCTTATTCCACTGAGCCATCTCCCTGGTCCCTGTATTAATATTTTTGATGTTGAACAGGATCTTGCTAAGGTTGCTAAATGGCCCAGGCTAGGCTTCAGTGCTCTATTTTCTTATCTCAGCCTGTACCCCTACGCTGTTTTATTTCTAGATTTTCAGGGTTCTAAAAGTCTGAAAGTATAATCCTAAATTTCCATGAGTACCTATTTCAATCAGCCAAAGTTTCTAGATCAGAGGAGAGTACTTGAATTTGGTTCATACTTTCTATCACATACAATTTTTTTTTTTTTTTTTTTTTTTTTTTTTGAGACGGTTCAGACTGTCCCCGAACTTACTATGTAGCCCAGGCTGGCCTTGAACTCGCAGCAGTCCTCCTGCCTCAGCCCCCTCCCCCCCGGTGCTGGGATTACAGACATGTGCTGCCATACCGAGCACAAATTCTCTTTCAATTGGAAAATTCTAGATCAATATCAGAGCTAATAATTTGTGGTTTTTTGTATCAGTAATCAAACCCACAACCTTGGGCTTGCCAGCCAGGCATCGTGCCACTGTGCCCCAGGGCTAGTTAACTTTGAGCCTGTATTTTTCTGTGGCTACAGCTTGTGACCGTAGGCCAGGTGAACATACCCTCCTGTCCACTTACTCATGTATGTCACCTGTTTCCCCAGAGGCCTTTGAGTGTGACACTCTTGCTCAACTCCTTAGACAATTCTAAGCATTACAGCACAGGCTGGCCTCCTTATCTGCACCTTCAACCAACTTTGGAATGAAAATATTAGAAAAAAACTGTATCTGTACTGACCATGTACATGATTTGTGATTGGTCATTAGTCTCTACAGGACATAATCTGATAACTACGCTGAACTACATTTTTTTTTTAATTTTTAAAACATCTTTTGGGGCCGGGAAGATGGCTTAGTGGAATAAGCGCTTCCCTGGCAATCGCAAGGGCCTGAGTTCAATCCCTGGTTCTGCAAAAAAAAAAAGTAAAAAAAAAAAAATCTTTTATTTGTTTATTTGGTACAGGGTCTTACTACACAGCTCAGGCTCATACTGGTCCTTCCGTCTCAGCCTCCCCAGTGCTGGGATTACAGGTGTGCTCCACCATGTCCAATCTTGGCGGTCAGCACAGTGCAACCAGGGTTCCAGGACCCAGCACAGTATACGGTACAAGGGCTTGAACCCAGGTCCTGACACTTGCCAGGCAGGCGCTTGGACCACCCAGCTGTCTCCCCAGCCCCTGAACTACATATTTTAAGTAATCTAGAGATTCTTTTTTTTTTTAGACCCTCCCCTCTAGAGATGTTTTAACACATTCCTGCCAGCTTGAACCACCAATGGTTATATGTGTGACTGTCCTATCAGGCAGTGTGCAGCACTGGGGTACAAGTAGTATGACCGTGCATGGGACAGTCGTGCAGTCACCACTAGTAGTACATGCTCACATGCCGAGCAGTGAGCACGCAGATTGTGGCCCTGTCATGAAGGTGCTAAGGCCTACAGAGGATGTATATAGATGGCATGCCAACACCATGCCATTTTACATGGCAGATCTGGGTTCCTCCGAATTCCTATGTCTAGCCCTATAGACAGAGGAATGGCTAGACCCAAGAGTCTAGGCTTAGCTGAGCATGATGGCGAACGCCTGGAATCCCAGCCCTTAAGAGACTGGGACAGGAGAATCACTGCAAGCTTAAGACCCACCTCAGCTACATAATGGGATCCTGTTTTAAAAAAGAAATAATAAGGGTCGGCCAAATAGCTCAGCGGATTAAAGCACCTACTAGCAGGCGCAGGGCCCCAGGGGTTCTATCCCTGGCCTGCTGTGCTGGCCCCACCCCCAGGGGTGCATTGAAACAGCGATTGAGCCTGGGCGTGGTGGCGCACACCTGTAATCCCAGCTCTTGGGTGGCTGTAAACAGGTGGATCACTATGAGTCTGATCTAGTAGTGAGACTCTGAACAACCTGTAGACCCTTCCCTAAAATACAAAAATAATAATAAGGGGTGGGCTGGAGAGATGGCTCAGTGGTCTAAAGCACCTACTTACAAGGAGCTTAGCAAAGCACAGGGACTGCGGTTCGATCCCCCAGCACCACATGCCAGTCAGCCCCGCCCCCTGGTGGGCTGAGCTGGCCACACACACACACACACACACACACACATGCATAAATAAATAAATAAAATTTAAAAATAATAATAATAATAAGACTAATTTAAATAAATAAGATCCAACAATTATAAAAAATATTGAGTTACTAAAATTCTCAGATTATGAGGGAAATGACTTGAGCTTTGGTGTTTCGAGATTCTATGATTATAACAATGAGCACAGTAGGGGATTTAGCTCAGTGGCACAGCACCCGCCTGACAAGCATGAGGTTGCAAGTTCGATTCCTGGAACAAAAAACAAACAACAATACAGTGCTCCATATTTCCCGGATGCTCAGTCCCAAGGTTCAGTATTGTTTAGGGTTTGATGTTTTAAAAGTTTAGGGTTATTGGCCGGGGTGATAGCTCAGTGGCATAAGTGCTTCTCCAGCAAGTGCAAGGCCCTAAATTCAATCCCCAGTACCAAAACAAACAAACAAAAAATCCAAAATGTTTAGGATTATGAAGTTACATATTTGTGATAATTTAAGGTTCTGAGTATCCAAAACCCTATGTATATATAACCCTAAGGTTAAGGATCTTTGATTTTGAAATTCTATTTTCTAAGATCCTATAAGGTTCTCTGATTTTGTTGATACTGTTTCTAAACAATCAAAATATGGTGGCAAATCATCCCAATAGGCCTGAGACTAAGGTTTTCAGGAGTAAAACCATGAAGATTTATCACTTTGTGTCCACACTCCTGGGATCCTGTTTCCTATCTCCTTTTCTTTACTCTTTCTTTTTTTTTTTTTTTTTTTTTTTTTTTTTTTTTTTTTTTTTTTTTTTTTTTTTTTTTTTTTTTTTGAGACTTGGTCTCACTCTGTATTTCAGGCTGGCCTTGAGTTCATTTTATAACCCAGGCTGGTCTTGAACTCACAATGATCCTCCTGCCTCAGCTTATGAAATGCTGGAATCACAGGTGTGTACCACCATGCATAGTTCTGTTTCCTATCTTTAAAAGGTTTAAATTATAAAGACTTTTAAAACTTGCCTGGCAAGCACAGGGTACTGAGTTCAATCCCTGGTACCACAGGGGGGGAAAAATATCTTTGGGGACAATGATTAAAATTTCTGGCAGGGGAGATGGCTCAGTAGAATAAGCACTTGCCTGGGAAGTGCAAGGGCCTGAGTTCAATCCCCTGTTCCGCCAATAAATAAATAAATAAATAAATAAATAAATAAATGAATAAAATTTCTAGGATCACTGACCAGAGTTCTGTATTTCTAAGAGTTTCCATTGCTAAAGGTTTAGCAAGAATCTCTGATGTTTTAATTCTTCAATCTCTCTGAAGAATCCCTGGCGTTTACAGTGCCCCAAAGTCCTATACTCCAAACTATACAACAGTTCCGAATTCGTGGGCTACTGCCCAGAGCTGCTGTGCAGATATAAGTGTTCAGTGCCTGGAAGTCTTTTCTCCTCCACCCACAAAGGCAAAGGCATCAGATTCACAGAGGCCGCCCTGCAGCCGTCTCCCAGCCCCTCTGCCCACGCAGTACCTGCCAAGGCCTTGATCCGGGAGCACTCGAAGAGTGAAGCAGCTCCAGTGGAGGTACCTGGCGGCTCCCGCTCCCAGCCTCGGTCAGGACTCTCCCAGCGGGCTGATGGGTTGTTGTTGTTGGGGGCAGGGAGCCCCTCCATGTTGTCCACTTCCCCCTGAACCTGCGCCATTGGGAAGGTGAGGCCTGGGGATGGGAAAGGCAAGTTAGGGCTGGGAACCAGCCCAGCGCTCCAAGCACTCACTTTTCATGGTGACTGGCTGTGAGTCCTGTGTCCTCGATCACCCTCAGCCTTCCTGTCTTTCAAGTGGACATAATTACAATAAAGCAGGCCATGATTGTGCACACTTGCAGCCCTAGCTACTTAGAAGGCTGAAATAAAAGGGTCTCAAGTTTGAGCCCACCATAGGCAACTTAGTGAGCCCCACTCTCAAAATTTCAAAAGGGCTGGCAGTATAACTCAGTGGCAGAACACTTGCCTAGCATGTGTGAGGGGCTCAATTTAACCCCACCAAAAAAAATTTTTTTTTTTTAAATGTTCACCCTGCAGGGATTTAACTCAAAGGCACAAGCACCTGCCTGGCAAGTGCAAGGTCCTGAGTTTGATTCCCAGTACCAAAAAAAGAAAAAAAAAAAAATTCACCCTAACCACATCACACAACTCTGGCAAATCTACTGTCTTAGCACATGGCACAGGATAGGAACGCAGCAGTTTATCACTGAGTGTGTGTGTGTGTGTGTGTGTGTGTGTGTGTGTGTACCTGGACTCAAACTCAGGACCTCAAGCTTGCTAGGCAGGTGCTGTGCCCCTGAGCTATATGCCTGGGCCCCTGTCACTGTTATTATTAAAACAATAACATTATATCAATAGAACCCAACAAGGCAGTAATAATAACAGTAGTGAATGAACATTTATTGAATACTTGTTCTTTGTTTAGTGCTTTATATGCATTCTTATTTAATTCTTAAAAATTTAATTGCCTAGCAATCAGTTATTCTGAGGCCCATCTTACAGAGGAAGAAACTGAGACACACAAGGGTTGTTCACTTGCCTGATTTTTACAACTAATAAATAGTTACGATTCACATTTAGGCACAGGGATAAAATGATATTAACCGCAAATCTTCACCCTTATAGCCACACCCCCCTGCTATAGAGTTCTTCAGGGTCCACCAATTGCTAGAGAGGAAAAGGTCTGTGTGTGACTGTGTGACTTGATTTGCCCCAGGGAACTGGCTGGAAGTGAAGGGTGCCCGATGTGGGCTTAGACTGAAGAGATCAAGCATGTTTCTGCTTGTGCTCAGTGGTATCCACGGAAAACCACCCGTGGGCTAGAGTAGGTCCGAGGCCCAGATTGCTGCAGCCTAGGTGGGGAGAGTCCCCCATCATGACCTCAGGATGAGAGTACACCCAGCAGGGACCAGAACCACCGGTCAGCCAGGGCCAACCCAAGTCGCTGAACTCAGACTCCGTGGCTAAATAAACCCTTCACGTTTTGAGACACTGAGTTTTGGGTGATTTGTCACGTATGCAGCTTTACTGCTGGGTTACGTTTTAGGTCTATCTTAAGTTGTAGACATGAAATCCAAGCGGGGCTGACATCAGGCACCTCCGCACCCTCCTGGCCCACCAACCTGGTTCTAAGATCAGGAAAGGAATTAAGAAATGACTCCCTTCTCCAAAGACCCCGACAGGCACTCTAGAAAGGCAGACTGGCCTGGGGTGTGGTCAGTGTAGTGGCAACTGCCCCTTTTGGTGGATGCACCAAACTCCACAGTGGCTCTGCTCTCCCATGGACTACCTTAGTAGGTACACGGTTGCCTGCACACACACCTGTGTGACCTTGGCCATGTCACCTCACCTTTCTGGGCCTCAGTTTGTTCATCTGCAAAAATGCTAAGGATATTTGAAGATAGATTAAAATACAGGAAACATGGTATCAGGTACAGCGCAAGATCTCAATACATAGTTCTTGCTGTTATCAATTTTCCCCCTCTGGGGCGTGGGATCAAAACCAGGCCCCACAGGGCTCTGTGCCAGAGCTGAGCCCCCACCCAACGTTGACTTCATCCTCTGGTCACATAAATTAGTAAATCTAAGAGCCTCTTCTGGAGTCAGATAGAGAGGAGTTCAACTCCTGCTTTATTCTTGCTGTATCTTTAAATTGATCTCTTTACCTCAGCCTCTCTGTGCCTCAGTTCCTTCTCTGTTAAAGGTGTCACAACTGTTCCCTCAGTGCAGAGTACTTAGGGATGAGGAGGAGCTTAGCACTTGGCCAGCTCTGGCAGGCCGGGAAGCAGCTCTGGCCTTACTCGAGACTGGATGGGAAAGGAAGGCAGGCGCAGGTGACAGAGGTGGTCAGGGGCGTCCTGCGGCCTGGGCCGGGGCAAGGATGGCTCTGTGCTGGGCTGCTGGTGGGAGCGGACGCGTTAACCCTTCGCAGGCCGTGCCTCTCTCCCTGCGGTACGGTCTTGGTGTGGAGGAAGGGGCCTGGGAAAGAAGGACAAGGCCTGTGGGGGACCTCTGTAGGGCGCAGAGCTGGACCGACCTGGAAGTTGGGGCTCTTTCTGCCGGGACTCCTGCCTCCGCCCGCCTAGTGAGAGCGAGGGGCTCGGGCCGTGCCTGGAGCGGGGGAGGATGCTCCACCGCTGGGGAGATCTGGGAGAGAGGCCACAGCCCCCGCCCCCCGGCAGCTCACCTGTGCCGCGGCCGCTGGTGCTGCCGTCCCCTCCGCTCGGCGCGCCTGACAGCCCTCCCTGCCGGTGTCCGCGGCGCGGCCCGGACCGGATCCGCTCGGCCCAGCCGGCCGCTGCTCGGCCAGATCCGCATG